AGAACATCTCTTTTTTAAACTAATAAGTAAGCAGTCGTGCAGCTTTACCTGATGCGCCAACACACATTTCCCGATAGCGAACTGTGCAGTATTAGTCCTGTCGAGGCAGTCCACACAGTTGACGCGCACTAGCCCAGTCTGCAGCCTGCCGCCCTGGTGCCCAGGCACTCCTGTCACCTCGCCATACCAGTTAGAGCTTAGGAATATGCCAGTCTTACGAACCACAGTGCGAGCAATGGCGGATAATCTGTAATATTAAGTGCAAAATTAGAAAACTGCCAAGGTATTTGGATATTTGACTGTAATATATTTTTTTAATAATCCATTGTCCCACACTAGAATTTTCTCCTGTATCGTGAGTGCGTTTACAGTCATATAATTTCACATAAATATAGACCATATTGCAGACCCGGAACAACAATTAGTGAATCACACAAAGAGTTGTTCCGTGCGAGAATAGGACCCACGATACGTTGCACGGCAGGCAGTTGCCCTGCCACCGCATCAACTGTGGAGTCATTTTAGAAGTCATAGGAGTGATTTTACAGCAAACTCATAAATAATGTTCATACTTGTCCAAGACTTTGGCGTCAGATCTCTTATTTGTTCGAGCCATATCCAGATGATAGTACTGCACAGCATGTTCAGGGGGTAGGAACTGATTCAAATACTTTATTCCATTACTTATCACATCAGTTAATAAAGATTCATGTTTCTTCTTCTCTCTCTTCTTAACTAAATTCAAAAACATAATCGGGGAGCCATATCTTCTCATTAGGTTGTTTAAATGCTTTCCAGGTATTTCAGCGAAGGGATCACTCAAGTCTATTGCAATTTGTGGCTTTGGTACCATTTTTGAGACATCTTGTGACCAGTAACTTGGTATGGAACCTCTCATCTGGACAAAGGAGCTGAATCTAAAATGGAATTGAACACAAATATTAGGATATTTGTATGTAAATTGTTATAGCAATCAAAATGAATTTGAAAAGATTCCCTTACCTGCCTGCAGCAAATGATGTCACCATAGAGTCATGAACAATTTGTTCAGTTTCCACTTCATTAGCAACATCTCCATGCATGTTTGCACCCCTTTTGAGGAACCTTGTTCCCGCATATCTGTTACTCCTTCTAGCTATCAAAGTCAGGTATATGGGTCGACCAAATATGTTCAAGTTACTCTGTTCTACAAAACCATGAACTATGTACAGGATCCAGTCAGGGTGAAGATGTGAGTGTACTGCTGACAATAGATGACTGTTCCAAACAAACCGCCATTCAGGTACTGAGCGCACACCAAAGTCTAGCCTCTGACGACTGTTGCTGGAATACAAGATC